AGTTCTCAGAGGAAAGAAGTTGTATGCAAAGTTGAGTAAGTGTGGATTTTGGCTTGAGTAGACCACTTTCCTGGGATACATCATATCAAAGGATGGAGTATCAGTGAACTCTGAAAAGGTTGAAACGGTGCTCGGCTGGAAGAAATTGACATCAGTTAAGGAGATCCGTAGCTTTTTGGAAATGGCAGGCTATTATCGCAGGTTTGTTGAAGGATTTTTTAGTCTAGTTGCTCCCCTGACCCAACTCACAAAGAAGAATGTCAAGTTTGAGTAAAATGAGGACTGTGAAAGAAGTTTTTCAGAACTAAAGAAGTGATTGACTGCTGCACCTGTGGTGGCCTTACCGAGTAGATCGGGGGGATATACAGTTTACAGTGATGCCTTCTATCTAGGCTTAGATTGTGTTTTAATGCAGCATGGGAAGGTCATACTCTATGGGTTCAGACAGTTAAAAAGTCATGAGAAAAATTATCCCACCCATGACTTAGAGCTTGCCGCAATCATACTTGTCTTGAAGACTTGGCGCCATTTTTTATATGGAGAGACCTTTCAGATCTATACCGATCACAAGAGTTTGAAATATATATTCACTCAAAAAGATCTCAACATGCGTCAAAGAAAGTGGATAGAACTTCTTAAGGATTATGATTGTGACATCTTGTATCATCCGAGTAAGGGCAACGTGATAACCGATGCACTCAACAGAAAAAGTACAGGTATATTAGCCCATTTGATGGTTTCAGAATGCAGGTAGATTAGGGCCACACAACAGGTTCGGCTTCAGGATTTGAGGAGAGTCACATGTTTTGGTCATCTAACTGTTTAGCCTGAGTAAATTTAGAGAATAAGAAAAACTCAGTCAATTGATCCCGCTCTAGTAGCCCTCAAGAAAAATGCAGAACAGGGAGTTAGCTCAGAATTTCAAGTCTCCGCCAATGGGTTGCTTCGATTCTAGGATAGGGTGTGTGTTCTAAGTGACAGTGAGTTAAAGAGAAGCATCATGACAGAGGCCCATAACTCAAAATTTGCCATATATCTCAGAAATACTAAAATGTACCAAAGTATGCGACCCCAATTTTGGTGGAACGGGATGAAAAGAGATATAACTGACTTTGTTTCTAAGTGTTTGGTATGTCAGTAGGTCAAGGCAGAGCATCAGGACCCAGATAGGCTACTTCAGCCATTACCAATCTCAGAATGAAAGTGAGAATATATCCCCATGGACTTCGTGATAGGATTACCTAAGGCACGCTTAGGACATGATGCCATTTGGGTAATTGTTGACCGACTTACCAAGTCTTCCCACTTTTTGGCCATTAGGATGACCGATCTCTTGGACAAGTTAGCAAGAATGTATATCCGAAAAATAGTCGGATTGCATGGAGTGCCAGTGACAGTGGTGTTCGACAGGGACCCCAGGTTCACTTCTCAATTTTAGAGTAGCTTTCAGCAAGCCATGAGAACGAAATTGTCCCTTAGTACTGTATTCCACCCTCAGACTGATGGACGGTCAGAAAGGACAATCAGTATACTTGAGGATATGTTTTGAGCTTGTGTCCTTAACTTTGGGGGCTATTGGGATGACCACCTACCCCTGATAGAATTCTCCTATAACAACAGCTACCAAGCGAGTATTGGCATGGCTCCATATGAGGCGTTATATGGGTGCCCATGTAGATCGCCGATTTATTGGGAAGAAGTAGGCGATAGAAAACTGTTCGGCCTAGATCTGATAGAGGAGACTACATCCAAAATAGTTAAGATCAGGAAGAATATTCAGACGGCTCATAGCAGGCAGAAGAATTATCCAGACACCCGGAGGAGAGATTTAGAATTTGAGAAAGGCAACCGGGTGTTCCTTAAGCTCACTCATTTAAAGAGAATTGGTAGGTTTGGCAAGAGGGAGAAACTGAACCCCTGATTTATTGGACCATTTGAAGTCTTAGACATGATTGGTACTGCCGCTTTAGACTAGCACTGCCTCCAGAACTTTCTAAGGTCCACAATGTGTTTCATGTGTCTATGCTACGCAAGTACAACTTGAACCCCTCTCATGTCTTGGCTCACGAGCCTCTTCCACTACAAGAAGATCTATCCTACGAGGAAGTACCGGTCGACATTGTGGATCGAAAGAGCATATTACTCCGCAACTAGAAAATTTCCTTTGTAAAGGTCATATGGCAGAACCACACACCGAGGGAGGCTACATATGAGCTAGAATCAGACTTTAGATCCCAGTATCCTCAGTTGTTCGATTGAGAGTGAGAGATAAATTTGAGAGACCAAATTTCTTTTAAGATGGGGAGAGTTGTTACACCCAACTAAAATTTTATTTTTTTATGTTTTTTATTAATAAATATAATTTTTTAATTATTTAATTTATTTTAATATATTTTGTTTTATTTAATTTAATAAAAAGTTGGGTAAATTGATAAATGATTAAATTAAAAATAATTTTGAAAAAAAGATATGAAAATTTGGATTCTGAAGGTATTTTTGAAAGAAAAATTAGAAATCGGGGGTCAAAATATAATTTAAAAAAATTACGCCACGTCAGACGCTCGGTCAGCAGCCCCGACCAAACAGGACATGCCAAGTGACAGAGGCGCTGACGCGGGAACCCACGCGGAGGGGAGCCACGTAAGTGATCCGCGTGCGCACAATCGAACGGCTGAGGTCCGTTCTTGCGAGCACGGACGGCCCAGATTCACTCTCTATTTAATCGCGATCGGACGGTCCAAATAAAAAACGATGGAAGGTCCAGATAAAAAGTGGATGGATATAAATAACCCAATCCGCACCCAAACTCTAACCCTAGCCGCTAGAACCCCTCGCTGGAGAAGATAACCAAGCCGTTGGGGAGCCGACTACTGCCACCCGCCGCCGCACCAGAACCCTTTTCGACCGCTAAAAAAGGTAAAAATTTCTTCTTTTACACAAAATTCAATTTAAACCCACCCATAACCAAATCGGAATAAAAGAACCGGCCAATTAGACAAAAAACACCACCAAAGTCTGGCGCCGCTGCCGTAGAGAATTTCACAAACCGCCTCCGATGAGGCCCTTCCCAATTCCTGTTTCATGTAATTTTTTTACTGTTGTGATCACCATTTTCCTCTCTACAGGTTGACCGAAGCGAAACACCCAACCACAACGTGAGTTGGAGGAGCTACCGCAACGGAGAGCCCCGCCGCTAGTGAGTTTCGGTTTTTTATATTTTTTTGACCAACTGAGGCCCTTTAGCGTGTATGCTCGCAAGAATCGATGTAAAATCGAATGAATTCAGCTGAAAACGGCCGACCCAAGGCGGACCATCGCTGCGGGCGGCGGCGTCGTCGCTAGAGCACGACAGAGCCACCGTGTCGGATTTCTGAAATTGGTTGAGTAGGCCCTGAGACTGATTTTTTGGTTTATTTGAGACATTTGTAGGTACCATAAGTGCGTTTCAGTTGCCGAAAAAAAATTCAATGAATCCAGGGACCGCCCGTAGGCGCAGTAAGCTATTTAGCTTTCGGAGTCAAATCAAGTAAGCACCCCTCACCCTATTTGCTATCATAGAATTGAAGTTTAAATAAATAAAAATACGGTATTTTGTACAAATTAAATAGATGTGCATAATTAATTACGGATTGCTAATGGAGCTCGAACCGGACATTGTTCTCTATTGATTTATTTTACAGTCTAAAAGCACGATGATATCTGGTTTATCTATTTTAAGGTTTAAATACACATATTACTGTTTTACTTGACTACTGTTTGATTTTGAGATTTGAGACATGATTACATTACCGGATGCATGTTTATTTGTTTACGTGATTATATTTGATTTGGTAACGGAGACTAAGGAAAAACAGAAAAGGGGTGTGGTCAAATAAACAGATAAGACGACAACCTCAATAGATATTCTAAGAGATGGTGGATGGACCGGGTTCATAGAGAATCCTACCGTGAACGTTGTTTCATACTGGACGGGGTATGGAGACTTAGTAATTTGGCACTCATACCGGACAGGGTATGGGGCGGCCCGCTTCACCCTCATACCAGACGGGGTATTGAAGTTTAATATCTTGGCGCTCATACCGGACGGGGTATGAGAACAACTCTGTAATTAAGATTGTTAAGGAAAATAGTTTACGTGTAGCGGAGACACCCCTATGGATCCCCATTGATACTAGTAGGCTGGTGAAACGAGAAACGGTTATGATTTAGTTTATTGTTAATGAATATGAATTTATGATATATTTTATGTTGCTGATCGTGTATGAAGTTATGATCTGTATGATATTATTGCTTTTATAGTTTGTTTTCATAAATTTCACAATGGTAAGTGAACGGTAAATGATTTTACGATTGATAAACGAATTTGCTAAATTTAGTACTCCATTAGTTGTTTTGATTTTCTACAAACCTTTACTTCTATGCTGGTGATATAGTGTGATATCCTTACTAGGCTAGTGTAACTCATTCCTTATCTAACCATTTCAGATCAAGAGAACCTGGTTTTAGAGTCTGATCCGCAAGAAAATTGCGAGTAGATGCTAGATACTTTCTATTTTCCATTACTTTTCGTATTTCTCGTGTTTCTTTCAAAGAATTCATTCCGTAATGTTTAATACTTTTAAGTTATTGTGTAAAGGATGTAAACCTTAATATTTTATTTTGCTTCCGCACTTAAATTATTATATATTTTCTTTTGGATTTCCGGGGTCGTTACATAAATTTTGTCAAATTAATTTTGTTAAGATTTGAGTTTTGGGCCGAGCTTTGAAAAATTGGATTATTGGGTGTTTTAGTTGGGCTGGGCTTGGGTTAAAAGTGGGCCCAATAAAGAAATGGGTTGAATTATACAGTTGAGCTAATATGTATGTATATATTATTATTTTATTATTATTTCAATTACTTGTCTTTTTCCTTTTTAATTTTTATTTTTCTTTGTTTCTTAAATATCAACCGAGCATTATCATAAAAATAAAGATAACAAAAAAGATCATGTGCCAAAACAAAAATATTTTATTTTTTCACATGTTATATTTATTGCCTATTAATTTTTATTATTTTTATCTGAACAAAATAAGTGTACGACGACGACGATGACATTTCGATTTGCTCTTCATTGCGGGGTGACAACTTGGATAGCCACCTGCGAAGTGTCTCCACCTAATTCTTCAAACAAGATCAATGTATTTACATTGTTGTTGAGGAACGATCTTGGGATGTGATACCTGAAAAAATTTATATTGATTAAGTATTTTAATTTTTTATTATGCAAAAGCATTTAGGTTATTAGTTCTTACCATCTTTGGGAAGGATTCCCACAGTTTGTCCTACAGTTGTCGGACCTGTAGCCTCCCCGATAATTACATGAAGGAACACATCCTCTAGTACCAGAAAGTTCATTTGCCCAGTAGCGGCCGATACTGTTTCCATTTACCCATGCATGACCTTTGCCCATGCCTTGCAAGTCCACCACTACTGGTGCTGTGCCCCATGGAGACTTGAAAGTTGTCTGTAAATATATATATGAATAAAGTTGATTTGAACAACTCAAATTCCTTCCCACCAATGCTAGGCTCTATTTTAATGGATTATATATATACATATAATACCTTATACCACGTGAATGGTCTTGCAGTAGGAAGTTGGTTTGAATTCCAATTGACATTGGATGATGGATCATAGAGTCGTTGGGATTCACCATTTACACCAACCTTCAAATAGGAATATCAATATATCACACATGAATTCTGATTACCGGTGGATGTATTGTTGTTTTTTGAAAATATTTAGAAGAGAAAAAACAAGTATATGTATACCTTGTTGAACCACGTTGATGATGTTAGATTGATAGTGGTAGTCCCTGCCATCAACTGGACAGTCTTTCCCCATAAGCCAGTCGGTATAAGATCATATCTTACACCATAGTTCTACCCACATTACAAGTAAATCTCAACATCATAAGTTTTTTTTTTTAACTTAAAATTTTCAATGGAGAGAATCAAAGTTGAAATAAAGGAGATAAGAAATAATTGAGAACGTACTGCCAATCCAACTGTTACACTGAGTAAACTGATGATGTTAGTCCCTACATTAAGTTGCACTGGTCTCTGGAACTCAAAGCTATAGTCATCTCCGTTAAATGATTGTTGGCCATTGGTTGATCCTGCAAACTGGAAACCTGTGTATATTCCAAATCATGAGGAGTGATTTATTTATCATGATAGAGAGAGAGGGAGAGAGAGAGAGAGAAGATTACCTATGAGGTTTTTGTTGACAAAAGCATGGAGACCATGTCCATTTGTGGTAACGCGCAAATTTGCATTTCTTGGTGTATTTGCATCTATATTAACACTGTTACAATTAACCAAGTATCGAGTTGTTAGAGTGTTTTCCTACTAGTTTAAACACTTTAGATAATTCATTCAATCAATCATCTAAAACAGTAAATCATATCAATGAAAGAAATTACCTGGTCATGTACCATAGATAGTCACTGGCATCAGAAGCTGCATCCTTTTGATCAAGAAGCTCGTTTGCTTTGGTGTCGCCTTTGCCATCAAGGGTTTCATCCATTGCTTCTGGTACCCAGGCCCATGAAAGTTTAGTAGGATCCTGGTTTTTCTTGGCGTAAACAACTGTTGGGGTGTAAACCTATTCATGAATACAACATTGAGTCATGTACTCGAAAAATGAATCTTATTAGATGTTCAATCTTTTTAAAACGAACAATAGACTACCTTGGCGGTATTATAGATTTCAGTTTTGCAGCCAAGAAGAATACTGACAGACCAAGCAGGCACCATGAACTTTCCATCTTGTTGCAAGTCAACATTAACATCCTTTGATCCGTCTATGTTGCTTAAGAAACAGAATCTCTCACCAGCGTTGTTTGCATATGTAGTCAGCTAATCAAATTTAAATCTCATATTTATTTTCTTCATCCAAATTAATAATAACAAATTTATTTTTTGAAATTTTGCCTTTACTTGCTTACATCAATATTATGATCAACGTTCCTAGTTGTTGCTGTGCCGCTTGTGAGAATCTTCTCTCCCTGTTTAATAGCTGCATGAAGCTGCTTGAGATGACCCCATTTAGGCTGATTTAAATTTCCTGCACATTTTTAATATCTAAATTCAGACGCTATGCTAATTTAATGTTTACGAATCGAGTTTATTCTCTAATACTATATCTATACAAAAAGCTATATGAATTTAACTTACCATATTCATCTAGTGGTGCATCATAATCATACGATGTGGTAATATATGGACCTCCTGCTTTCCGACCAAAGTTTGTTCCTCCATGATACTGCATTTTAGGAATTGGAGATTAAGTTGACAATTGAAAACCAAAATTTTTGAATGGATGAGAAATTTCAAAAGGAATAATAACCATGTAATAATTGTTTAAGACTCCTCCATTTTGGAAGAAGCGTGCTACTGCAAATGCAACATCTTCAGCAGGTCTATGCGGTTCACTGTTACCCCAAAGCTTGAACCTGAAAGTTTGAATTGTTTTGGCTCAATATCAAATCTTACAATAAAAAAAAAAAGAGTAATTAGTAATGTGATTCTGAATAAGCCTTAAATTCTCACCATCCTGTCCAATTTTCAGTCCACATCTTTGGGCTCTTAGGGTTGTTTGGCTTGAATTGGTCACAGTAGAAGCCGTTGCATGCATTAATCTGCAACAAAATATAGTCATTTATATAATTTCCTTTGGAAACTCTTATAATGTTTTCTTCTCACTTTTAATTTTTCAAAAAATAAAATAAAAAAAATGGCATACTATAAATTGAATACCATTGGCTGTGGAGCATCATCCTGCTGACACATAACCCACGGAATGCCAATGTTTTGATTGACTGCCATTTGAGCAGCCCAATTGATGTAGGATTTCCCAGCTGCGCCATAACCCTTCATGATATTTCCATATTCATTCTCAATCTGCGCTAAGATGATGGGTCCTCCCTGTGGTGCAAACAGCTTAGCATCTTTGCACATACTCACGATCTTGCTGGTAAATATTTGCATTTCATTCTACATTCAGAAAAAAAAAAGAAAACATTAAGAATCATTTCAAAATCAAAACTTACCAATTTTAGAAAAAACTAAAAGTAGTATAGAAACGAAAAAAAACCTTGTAAATCTCATTGTCGGTTCTCAACTGGATCCCTGGAGTATTGTGAAGCCATAGAGGGAAACCTCTAAAGAAAAGAAACTAAGATGTTAGTTCTCATGCATATTTCTTTATTTTCTGAAACTAAAACTACAAGAAATGAAACTAAGGGAGGAATTATTAGTACCCATAACTCCACTCAGCGCACACATAAGGACCAATACGAAGAATTGCATAAAGTCCTGCTTGTTGTATCAGCTGGAAAAACTTGATGAAGTCTTTATTTCCCGAGAAGTCATACTGGGTCATTAAAAAAGCAATAAACAAATATCAGTTTTTAACTTAAGCAAGTAATATGACCAATTATTTCTAAGAACTTAAGTTAAAAACGAATAAATCAATCAATTATTTATATTCTACCTGACGAGGATTAGGCTCATGAATATCCCAGAAGATGTATGTTTCAATAGCATCAAGACCTCCGTCCTTGCCCTTCTGAATTAGATCCGGCCACATCTGCATATATAAGGCAATATGGAGTTAGCAGAAAAGAAATCACCACTTTAGAATGCAAAAGCTAGTGTATTAGGAATGTAGTAGAACCTGAGGAGTGCTGCGCGGATAGTGGATTGAACCAGAGATAATGATTTTGCGTTGTCCATCAATGATGATGGCATTAGAATCAGATTCAACTCTTGCTCCTAAAGATGAACCCACTAAAGCTAAGGTTGCTAACACAAGTAACTCAATCCAACAAAAATGAGCCATTTTTATGGAGACTCTTTATATATCTCTATCTTTGCAATTTTTTTTTAAAAAAACAAGAAACTAAAAAGAAAGAAGAAGAAAAAAAAAAAAAAACAAAAGAGAAAGAAGAAGAAGAAGAAGAAGAAGAAAGGTTGAAAAGGTTTGTTAAAGAAGCCTTAGCTTCAGTCTTTTAAGGTTTATGGCCAATGCTTATATAGATACCATTATCTAGGATCTGATTGGATAAAAATTTGTGAAATCAAGCCTCTTATTTTAAAAATTTTTCCATCATTAGTTTTTGTATAGAGATTTGTTTCATATCGATCTATTTTTACTCTTTCTCGGTTAAATAATATTTTTGACTTATTTAGCGTAATACCACAAATCTTTATTCTATTTATAGAATAAATAAAATAATTATATTAGAAATAATTAGAATGATATGTTGATAGTAAAATATGATACGCGATATATTTTTAGTAATAAAGTAGGATTATGATGCATGACGAGATAATTGATAAAAATTAATTACTACTTAAAGTTTTGAATGAACCTGAGATACCATGTGAAAATGGGGGAAGAGGATAAAAGGAAAAACAAAAATTTGGTCCCTTTAATAATTTAGTTTTGTAATCTTATTTATTTTTGCTTTCCATATGAAATTAAATAGCAACAGAAGGCTTTAAAGTTTGCCAATAAAATCTAAAAGCAATCTGATGAAGATCATTTTTTTTACCTTCTTTAGATTTAAGATCTTCTGTATTTGTTCACTGTTCATGCAATCAATTATGTAAAAAGATAAACTTGTGATTCACCCTTATATTATCCTATGTTTTGATACTCAAAAGATCAATTTTAATGGAAATTCTAATCTCTTTTCTTTTGTTCTTTAAGGTTTTCTTTCAACCCAAAATATCTCTATCCTATCCCAAACCTCATGTTTTTTCCGCATATAGGTCAGGTTCCTTAACCAGTCTCAGAGGATGGTTTGGACTATTTGTTTCGCCAAATCATAGTTTTAAAGGCTTATAGGCTCAGGTTTGCATTTACCTGTCATAAGCAGATATTCATAATTTGTTCTTATTAATCAAAATACTCAAGTTATTGAGTTAATATTATAATTTTTTTAATTGAATGAACAAAATATTAGGTCAAATATTCACTCGGCTGCTCTAACTAAGAGAATTTAGTCGTTTTGAGTCAAACGCGCTGCCGGCAACCTCAAACTACAATTAACAGTTGCGTCATCAACCAACCGGATGGCCGATTCTATTGGGGTGGAGACTCGATATGTGACTCTGCAACCATGATATTCATATTGCTGAGATTGTGAGATAGAGAGAGTAAGTGATAAGCAAAGATAAAGCTAGAGAGAGAAAGTAATGAAGATGGAGGGAGGAAGGGAGGGAGAGAGAGGAGAGAAGAAGACGGAGATAAGAAGCAAAGAGACACAAATTTTTTCTTTTAAAGAGAATGGCGAAGGAAGATAAGGGGTGAGAGAGAGAAAGAGAGAGAGAAGGGAAGATGGAAATAAAGTTGTGGAAGAGAATTAAAATTTGAAAAAAAAAATGATTTCTTTTATAAATTCTATCGTTTAATTTGTCCTAAATATTAATATATAAACATATATTATATTTTTTTGTATAATTATAAATGAGCATAGCATTATATATTAAATAAAATAAAATAAAATATAATGTACAGATAATAATAATATCTATATTTATTAATATTAATATACAAAATAATAATTTAAATCAAAATTTTAAATTATTTTAATCAAACAAACTAACTTTAATTTTTGGTTTACTATTCTCTTACTCTTAGCTTCAACTATCAGTTTTATTTATTTATTTTATAAATAACTACTTAATTAAACATTATACTATGCCTACAACTTTTGAGATAAATTTGTCCAGAAATAAAAATCAAAATAAAGCTTAATATGTCTATCTATTTCATGGGCCGCCTTATTGCATTACCTATGGACCCATGAGAGACAAATATGTGACAGGGCCCTTAAGAGATCTCTACCGTCTTAGATAACAAACTTAAATTCTGAATTGTCTTTCACAGTGGCCCGAATAGCTGCATAGATGAGTTATGCATCCAATTCAACAGTACTCGGCCCACTAATATACTTATGGATGAATCTTAAAATCCTGTGACACTCCAATAATTCAGCCATAAATGGAAATCGACAGCCCTTTATATCTACCAGAAATTATGTCCAACACAACACAATTCGCATCCCGAAAAATTTGCTCGAAGCCCAACTCAGGAACTGGCTTATACACAACAACATTTATATTACATTTCCAGGTACCAAATGCAGGTCTCTGCCACTCTAAGCACTATTTTGTATCGAATTCCTCAAAAGTCTCATGATTTCTTATGACTTTAGTTTCTCTCCACTCTGACAGAAACTTTCTCATTAGCTAAATAGATGTATGATCTGAAAAAATATTTATCATTTCATACCAGTTCATTTCTTCAACCCATACACGCCACATACACCGTATCACCTTAGAGATTTCCTTACCTAGTCTTGTTTTGCAGAAATTTCCTCATGATCTCCATTATAGATCGCCCTTGGATCTCTAAACTAGTGATATTCAATAAGTTCAAGCACCTCTTCGATTTTCCACATTCAAAGAAGGCATGACTTGCATTCTCGGTTTGATCGCATCGCGGGAACGTTGGCAGAATATCAATGCCCCACTCCATCAAACGCTTCTTCACAAGCTAAGTGTCCGACAAAAGCCTCCATACAAAATTTTTGACCTTGATGGGGAGGTCCCCTTGCCAGATGCCTTCCCAAATATTACTGTTATTTTTTTGTTGCTTTTTCATACTTCCCAGTATATTTAAATAAAAAGACTTTACGGTATGCTGTTCTATTCTCTTAAGTTTTGTTTGGATAAATTTCAGAAGTTAATTAATGTATAATAATAGCAGTAATTGAATAACAATAACACATAATGGCAAATTTTTTTTTACGTTTGGATGATAGTATATTAATGTATGTTAATAACATATTTTTATTTGAATGATAGAATGATATGATTGTATTTTTAATTAAATTACTAATTTACTTCTACATATTATATGTAATAGTAAATGGTATAAAAGAAATATATATAAAAAAAAATTATTTATCAATATAATTATATTTGTATTTAAATAAATAATTATTATACATAATTAAATTAAAATTTTATATTTAATAAAATAAATAATAATTATTTATATTATCATATTAATTTAATGAATTTTTAATTGTCAGAACATATATAGAATTAATTAAATTAGATTGGGTATAATGAGAAATAAATAAAATGTCCACCAAATACCACTAATTTGATAGTTTAAAAATTCATTCCAAAATTTACGAGTCAAATACCATTTATTACTATTGGAAATTGAAATAAATAAGATTTTTTTCATTACTGTAAAATAACATACATTAAAATTTTATTATTTATCATGATTTAAACAGAGAGTTAGAGGTTCAAATATATCTGTCCGCCCTCGTACCAAGATTAAGAGGAATGTTGGTTACTAAGTCCGCTTCTTCCTAAAAAAAAAAAAACCCCTAACCAAGTCTTCATTCTAGCTGCCTCTATCTGCACTAAGTAAATCACATACCCGTAGCTCCTCCATTCCCGGAATGCAAGTATTGCGAACCATAAAATCCCTTTCCCTAGGCACCCACGGGTTGTGCACACCACACACTGATTTTCTCCCCTAACCAAGACTTCATGCAGTGAATGAGCTCGAAGGCCAACAAAACATTATCCATCATGTTACGGCCATGGATAAAAGTATATTGTTCTTCGGATATAACCCTTGGCAGTACCTCCTTCAATATGTTCACAAGGGTCTTCAAAATGATTTTGTAAACAATGTTGCACAGCAAAATCGGTCTTAAATCTCGGACAGTCTCAGGGTTATCCTTCTTGGGTATGAGAACAATAGTTGTTTCACTAACAGCTTTCGGGATATAGATCTGATCAAACCATGTCTGAAAACTAGCAACAACATCAGCACCGACCGTATCTTAAAATTTTTGAAAAAACGCTAGATTTAAATCATTTGGACTGGGGGGACTTGTCGCTGTGCATTTGGAAAGTAACTTGCTTGATCTTTCAGGGTTAAGGAGACAAAGTAGTTGTTCATTCTCCAGGTCTGTGGTGCTTACTCGTTCCACCACCAATGTTCATTCACCTTCATCAGCCGAAAATAATTCATCAAAATAGGACGCAACATGAATTTGTAATTCTGTATCACCCCGTATCTAGTTTCCATCATTATCCTTTAGAACATAAATGTGGTTCCTTCTCTTTTTTTGAGCCATTTGGTGATGAAAAACTTGGAGTTCCAGTCTCCCTGTCGCAACCAACAGGTCTTAGTCCTCTGATTCCAAAAAACATTTTCTTGTTTTGGAACATGGAGGTACACCATTAAGACTCGCTAGTGCACCCTCATCCAAATTCTGCCTCCGACGTTCATTGGTGAGTTTCTCATACAGTGCCTGTTTCCTCTCCTTGAAGTTTCCTACAGAATTCCTCCCCCATTCCATCAACTCGTGGTACATCACATAATCTTTTGCATAATATCCTCTACCGTATCGCCCCATCAACTTTGATGGACAACACTGTCGATATCTGGGTTTAAGAGCCAAGCATTTTCAAATTTAAAGCGCCTATCATGGTAGTGAACTTCCGTTCTGTTACATTACAATAGAATGAGTGTGTGGTCAAAAACACGAGTGTAGAGATTTTCTAGCCTTCCAAAAGGAAACTGGTGTGCCCATGCATCATTCTTGATGCACTGATCAATCCGTTCCCTTATATGATTGCCCTGATTACCTCTCTGCCAAGTAAAGCCATAGCCTATCAAGGGAAGATCACACAGGTTGCACTGTGATAGCGTCTCCTGAAAACCAGTGATAAGTGTTTGAGATGGTGGTGCCCCACCTTCCTTCTCCGCCGCATAGAGCATATAATTGAAATCCCCTACCACTGCCTAAGGGTCATCCCGTCCCTGGGCCAGGTTTTCTACTAAGTTCCATGTGTCCCTTCGTCGGCTTCTCTGCAGCATACCATAAAAATTGGTTAGCATCCATTCTTTAATCCGATTCATACTGGATATTCTAATCAATATGG